GTGTCAACGACACGGCCCTCAACATGGTGCTTGAAATCTGCCTCCAGCACTTTTAGAAGTGTATTTCCCGGCACTCGTAACTCCCTCATCGCTTTGTTGTGCAATCGGTCATGAGTTTGTATGTCCATCGTATTCTCAACAGAGAGAGAGAGTTCAATTTGGTGCGCTGTCGACTTGCGACTAGTGTTTGGCAACTGTCTTCACTGCCTTATTCGAGGCTTGTACTGACTCAGTTGTGTGGGGTTCCGTTGTATAAACAGCAGCACGTGTTAAACAAAACTGGCACCATCTGATCCTCCATCTTCATATGGGTCTGGACTGAACAAGGATCATTAGTTTTGGAGGGGAAATTGTCTGTAGACACCGACTCGACCGAAATCAGTGGTTCTCTGATGGACTCTTTGCACTGTTTCGGGGCAATTTTTCTGCTAGCATCCTGGATCCTCATGCTCACAAATCCCCTTCTTAACAACTTCCCGTTCGTAAGCGGTTTGGGTAACCGCCATCTCCTTTGTTGATTCCTTTAGGGTTTCCGTATTTCCTGTCGGTTGGCGTCTGTGACATTCGGTTGGCTGGACAGGAGTGAATTACTTACACGTGAACTCCCTCAAGACATCAGCCAGTTTGAATATATCCATGGTCTTCTCGGCATTAATTATCCATGTCGTCTCTCGCAGATCTTCCGGCAGGCTCTCCATGAAACGGTCGAGCAGTATTTCCGAACATGCGACATCATCCAACGTTGAGACCATTCGACATTGGCATGCCAACAGGGTGCGCAGGGCCACGGCATGCTACATGAGGCCCTCGCCAACTCCGAGCTGCACCGTCCTGAAGCTCTGCAACGCCTGCTGGCGGTCGCCCGGGGTGTCAAAACCTGCGAGCAAGGCGTCCTTCGCGGCGGTCCACTCCATCTTTCCCGGATCTCTTCGCATTGTATCCAACACCGCCTGCGCCCGGCCCTTGAGAAGCGCTCGGAGGGCCGTTAACTTACTCCGGTCAGACCGTAGTTTCGCCAGCTCCGCGACCTGCTCTAACTCCTCCAGGAACGTCCGCGAATCTCCGTCCTCAAAGGCGTCAGGCCACGGATCCTTCATTCTGATCCTGGAGATAGCACCGGTTATTATAATTCCATAACTCGGTGCTCAGTCTAAGACAGTCGGTTCATTGCCAATAACGGTCAGGATATGGTTAACCTGTCATTCATATAACAAAACGTCTCACTTGGAACAACTTTCCTGAATTCCCGCACACACACAGGATATGTAATGGAACGGTACACCATCAGATGCTCATTTGTTTGTTCACCGTACCAAATATCAACAGTTTGCTCCAGCAGGATTTGTTCATTTTTGGTCGTTGAAAGAAACCGCTGATTGCATCTTTTTGCGTACTACGCACAAGTGAGTAGTATCTCACAACACTATCACTGAACAGCAGATCCTCGTGACCATGAAGCCTTTTCCGTCTGCAGTTCATCACATTAAGGTATTTTAAAAAGTACTGTGAGAAGCACCATACTCGAATAAATGGAACATTCTCTGCATAAACTTGCACATCACTGTATGTATGTACCGGTATCGATTATTGTGAAACTAATAACAAGCACCCGATTGAGTGTTCTTGCGTTACTAAAGTGGGTGACTGAAAGTCTATCAATTTATATGATCATCTATCCATACCAGGCTTGCACTATGAAAGAAGCCTTTTTAAATAAAAACCATACTTAAGTGAGTAAGTGAATAAATTGCGGGATACAAAAGACCCGGGAAAAAGTCCGTTGGCATGAGCCCAACACATGCTAATCCCATGGAAGCGCGCTATTTTTATTGGCTTGCACCTGGTTTACACATTTTAAGTATATGCATCATATGTTTGAAATGGTACCTTTTGCAATTTTTTAAATTTATTCTGTTTCTTTTAGCTCTTTATTTTATTTTATTAAATATACAACGGTACGTGTTACAGAAAGTTGGAAGCGGCCAATTAGAGGGCTTACATGCAAAACATAATAAAGAACGTCAAACAGTGGTGTTGGGTTTCGAATGCAGGTGCTCCATGGTGATTCTTTTACCGCCTGGACGCTATCATCCAGTTGAGAATGTAAGCGTTAGTTGGGACTAAAACGGTTATGTTGTTGGAACTAACGTGGAATGATTGTAGCTCAATATAAGGATGCAAATTGTGGTGTTTTTCGAGCTGGAAATGTTGTTTGCAGACGTTTTGTCGCCAGGCTAAGCAACCTTATCAATGCAAATTCGAAAAGTCTGAAATAACACTTCCAGCTCGGAGAACACACCAACAATAGTTTGCAGGGATTATAACTGCAGTTAAATAGATTCGATCGGTACATTATAACAGGATCTGTGTTCAAGTATTGGTTACATATATGTCAAAGTAGGCATTCTATCTGGAGGAAAACTATTTGCTTTGTGTGCGAAAGCATAAAACAGCCGTTTCTGTAATTTTGACTAAAATTCCCATAGATTTTTATCTACATCCCCTCTGGGTCCTATTCCAGTTCCATTCGAGTCCTATTAGAGTCACACTGAAATCTCGTTTTGGGTAAAAACGGACTTGGATGCGGACAGAACTCGAGTGGGAAGGAACGGTAAAGGTTGTGTAGCAGGTTATTTTAAAATAATGAAATTAACGTTCACCCAAATTAACATTTTGCTTGCATTGTGTTTCACATATCTGAATCCAGACTGTTTGCCAAACAAACCGTGATAAAAATAACCTTCATAAAAAGAGAAACAGCATTACTTATGAATTGATGAAAAAGCTCATTTTTCATTGCAGATCACTATAAAGAAAACTTACAACCGGTGGAGGAAGATGGTTAATAAATTTTGTTTTCTATATGTGTATGCGTTAGATAAAAATCATGTTGATTTGTCGTAATTTTTATATGAGATAGATGGGGTTTTATATTACACCTCCATTACCCATCGCGTGCTTTGAGTGTGCTAAGCCAGGCCAGTGTGGTAAAACAGCTACAAAGGAAATACGGCTTTGGTAGACCATAATACAGCGTAAAGAGGTATGAGATCATGAATATGTTTATAGTGGGGGAAAGGGTAGGTAAAAAATGCCGAATTTTGATCGAAAGTTACCATTTGTTTGATAATCCTGAGTGTTGCTCTCCTAGTCACTAAAGGATCCTGATAGAAAAGTTCACCCTGAGGTACCTTTATGGCTCCCAAACTGCGTGTTCGACGCAATTTTACTTTTACTCCCGTTTTAAGGTCAATCCTAATAAATTAATTATTTTAAACATGGACACCATCCTCAGTAGTCTACCTAATGACATAGCAAGATCTGTCACGGAATTGTTTAAGACATCAGTAAACTCTGGTGTTCGGCCAAGGAACTGGCGGAAGGCGATCGTCGTAGCAATATAAAATTGGGGTCTAGACAAAGGGCGGAGAACCACAGGCAGGTCACTTTAACCTCAGTGCTGTGCAAGTGCTAGAACGAAAAGTTAGAGAGAAAATTTGTGCGCTTTTGGTGACCCATTGTTAGGACGGAGCGCACAAAATCCGTCCTGTCACACAGCGACACGCGTCACACCACAAGTGCGCTTGTGACGCCCAAGACTTCTGATTGGATGACTAAGGCGAATCAAATAGCTGTCGTCCGGTCGATCAACCTGAGTGTCAAGGTCACGATCTGATTGGCGCGTCACCACGTCTGCTCGCGTACGCCCAACTGACCACATATATTTGCTTGCTGTTTCATGANGATCAAAAATACACTCTGACTGCCGTTTCTCAGCAGTGTTCTTTCTCCAGTTTTTGGGGCGTAGAAAAAGAGGCATACGTATTGATCACATCATCTTGACACAAGACATAACACTCATCAAATTCTAACTCCTGCACAGTATGGGTTTACCAGAAAGAAATCACGCTTCACTAATTATCCTAGGTGTTTAGATGAAACTATGCGTCATCTGGGTTAGGGTAGGTCAGTGGNGATACGTTATTTAGATTTTAACAAGGCTTGTGACTCGGTGAGTATCACGCTGTTTGGCAGGAAACTACCATCTCTTGAAATAGTCGGTTCAACACGACAGGGGTTGAAACAGTTTCTCTGCAACCGTAGCTTCGTTGTGCGGGTTGATAGCTGTACCTTGAGCTCAAAGAGGATTACAAGCGGAGTGCCTTAAAGTTCGGCTCTTGAGCCCCTCCTTTTTTCTTTTTTTCAACGATCTTCAGCTAGAATTGCAAAACCCCTGCTTCATCTTTGCGGATGTTATGAAGATAGCGGGTGGGAACTTAACCCAGGACCAAGATGAAGTCCGAAAAATGGTCGTCTCGATGGAATCTACCCCTGAATCTGGCTAAGTGTTAACTACTGACTACTAATAATAAGGCCAAAAGAGTAATTTCTAGTTTGCGTACCACAATCACTTGCAGAAAGTCAGAGGTGTTCGTTCAACTGTACCAGGCAATGGTGCGTCCACTGTTAGAATACTGCATGTAAGCCTGGGCCTTATATTACCGTAAATATATGGAGTGTCTGGAGAAAGTACCACAACTGGTAACTGGAATGGTCACGTGACAGGTAGGAAAGAGCTACTCACAGAATCTACAAGGATTGTATCTTCTCTCGCTGTCCCGCCAAAGAACCGGGGGTGACTTAACAGAAGCTTTCGAGATAGTCAAGGGGCTGCTGATGTTGGACTAAACAGCCTCTTAATCCCTGCTCCAGATTGTGCCACAGGAGGTCAAAACCGTGAGCTACAAAGAGCACTCCAGGCTGGAATTGAGGGCCAGGTTCTTCACAAACCGCCATTTTATACAGATTACGGTGAATGTCATAAACTGCAAAACTATGGCCTTGGATCTGTGCTGGAACGTGGTATTTCCGAAAATTGTGACTTCATATGGAAGAAAGAGACAAGGTATGTTCTTTCCTTTAGTTAATTATTTATTTTATTTATGTCTATACAGTGTATGTGATACTACACCTAAAAATTCTACCTTTCACAAAACAGCAGAACAAACGTTTGGTGCGCGATGTCTGAAGCCAAGGCAACTCGCTGGTAAAACAACGATATGGACACACAATTGGTCTCAATCACTTTCGTTTTTACGCAAACTGAGCTAAACTGAACAACAGAACTCTGTTACAATGTCCAATAATTTTCTTCTCAATAAACAATAATTCTGTAAGTTGCTGCTATAGCAGCTATAGCTGATATTTCATCTTGACTCGGTATAACGAGCGTGGAATGTTGGATACTTAGAAAATACATACTTATTTGGCAAAAAATAATAGAAAAGCCTTTTTGATTGCTACCACTCTAATATTGCATTACCACAATGTATTACGTAATACATTACATATACCGCAATTGCGTTCAATAATGGGAAGCAGAAAACTACTAGAATTGGGTCTAAAAATGTATTCTGATGACTTCCTACTTCTAATTATCAAAGTTCATTGTATAAAAAGATTTCAGCTGATCAGAGCCGGAAAATATAGTTTGTCGGATATCTCCGACAAACGCAATACTGACTGATGAATGAGCTAAATGAAAGCTATATTCACGTCACCATAGCTGACGAATAGTTGGCTATTAGCTAACTTGGAGCTGTTTATGAGTATTAAATAAATAAACAAATTTTAATTGACCCCGGGGTTCGCACTCACTTTTTTCGGAGAATTAAAGTATGTCAGTTCCTTTGGCAATGATCGAGTGGGGGGAACGTAAGAAAATGCCGAAAGTGAACACGGCGTTCCTTCAAGATGGAACGACTCGCCGTTTGATTCAACATCAATGACAATTTTCTTCATAACCGTTGAAATCTCGCAGTTACCAACGAAACAGTAAAACAAAACAATTCAAGGTCAGTTGAGTTCAGTTTACACAGGACGAAAATGGTCGAGGCCAATCTTGCGTGCAGATCGTTGTGTTGTCAGCTAGTCAAACTTTCGTTTTTTCCTGAAATGCAGAATTTTTAGATGCAGTATTACATTTATCAGATATGTAAAAATGAAACACAAATATAGAAACAAACTCACCTTGTTCCTTCATCGCCTCTCAAGTGAGCAGCTCCGAGAATACCACGTCCCAGCACAAATCCGAGGC